AGCAAAACGATGGCAGGCCCTGAATTACGGTATTCAGACTGTGAGAAGGCTCTATTGACCACTGTGTGGGCAGTGAAACATTTCTCCTGCTATATTGGTGGACAGAGGATCATTGTTGAGACACAACACCAGCCAGTAACGTTTCTGAACAGCCAACGCATCAGAGATGGTGTGGTGACAAACTCACGTGTTGCAACATGGCTGATGGCACTTCAAAGTTTTAACCTAGACATCCGCTACGGTCAAAATAAGAAGTCGCACTTGGGCACTGATTTGGCAATCTGCCAAGAATGTACACAGGATGTACCAGCCACCCAACAGCCGGTTGTGAGCAAACCCTCAGCTGCTGAGGACCCAAATCACCACTTCTTTGATAGCAATATCTGTAAAGATATGGCAACATTGTACGTGGATGGATGTTCATTCCACCACGAGAAAGTCTGCAAAGCAGGTGTTGGAGGAGTTCTCCTCCAAGACCTGGAACAGGTCACATTTGGCTATAAATTGGGCTCTCAGTCTTCTCAGTACGCCGAGATAGCTGCAATCCTAATAGGCCTACAGATGGCAGTGGAACGCTCCATCCAGACGCTAGTCATCTGCACTGACTCTAACTATGCTCGACTCAGTTTCTTGTGTCATCTCGCTCTGTGGAAACAGAACGGTTTTCTCACAAGCAACAAAAAGGTGGTAAAACACAAAGAGCTTTTCATGACATGTGATCACTTGGTGACATCACATGATCTACAGATCTTCTGGAAGAAAGTTCCAGGACACTCTAGAGTCCCAGGCGATGACAAGTACTACAATGACCTTGCAGACTACCTAGCCAAAGAAGGAGCCGTTGACGGATCCATGTGGTCCTTTAACCCCTCCTGGCTACTCAACACTCAGTCGTCACAAGCTACAACTGAGGTAATGGCAGTCACACGCGCACAAGCTGCAGCTAAACCTGCTGATAACACAGTTTCTGTACGCCCCATGCTGACTGACCCGGACATCATCCAACTTCAGAAGTTGGATCCTGCAATTAACTCGATGATGCTGTATCTGACTGACCCTGACAAATACGCTCCATCGAAAGTCGAGCTGGATTCCAATCCAGACCTCAAAGTCCTCTTTCAGCTGCGCAAACAGCTAAAACTACTCAAGGGCATCCTAACTTTTGCTCATGGACGGACGTCCTCACCTGTGTTCGTGGTCCCCCATGACCA